AGAGAGAGAGAGAGAGAGACAGAGAGAGACAGAGAGAGAGACAGAGAGAGAGACAGAGACAGAGATAGAGACAGAGACAGACAGACAGACAGACAGACAGACAGACAGACAGGCAGACAGACAGACAGACAATAAAAAACATAGAATAAGTATCAGATATCACTTACGTGTCTCTACCCTGTGCTGCTCCAGGGTGTCCCGAAGAGCCTTAGGCTCCACCCCGTGCAACACGGTCAGCACACACACCACCACAGCTGTGAGGACGAACATGCTGCTGTTCCGGAAGATGTCCACAACAGGATACACCACACGCACGTTCGAGCTCGAGCTACTCACTCGTCTCTGCCTGCCTGGCTGGACTGTCTCTGTCTCTGTGGGTGACCCCAGGAAGACTAACACACACCAGCAGCAACCGTCAAACTGCTAACAAGGAGATGTATCTTGTGTCTTGTGCTGAAGTCACACGACGCAGCAGGACAGCACGGCACAGCGTGTGACCTCACCAGGCTGTCAGAATCTCTCCGGAGTGTCTCTGAGTGACCACAAATAGCGAACTTGGTCCTGGGCAAGAATATAATTAGGACAGGTCTCGTGCAATGACTCTCTGTTTTCTTCTTTTGGTAAGACGGCAAGCGGACTGGGGTATTAGATTTGTCAAAGCACAAGGTACTTAATATCAGAAAGAACTGCAAACAAGGAGAAGATTTTTGTGTCCTGGATTTCTAGAAAATGTTCTCGAAACAAGGGACTCTCATTCTGTTTAAATCAGCGCATTTTTCTCAAAAGTTGGCTGACAAGGCAAGTAGCAAATCCTAGTCCAACATAGAGTCCTTTTTGTAAGCTAGACCCCATTTGTAAAAGTGCTTATCATGTTTTGAATTTAAAGGATCTGTGTTTAAACTGGGGACTGTAAGCCTACAAGAATCGTGTCCACTTTCTTATGTCATCTGATAGGGTTCGGGGTGACCAAGACTTGCCAAGGCCAAGCATGTCTTTTATCTCGGTCGTGAAGGGGCGGGGTCAGATAGGTGCCCGTTTCGAAATTGTTGGAAGAACCAGAAGATAAGCCGGTACCGGTCTGTGGATGATAAGAGATGTGGGAGACAGATCGCAGAGCTGGAAGAGTGGTTAAATGGTGCTGCACATTTGCCACTAAAGCGTCCTGTATTCATCATCCAGTGCCAGATCTGCGGCCAACATCGGCGATTATGGTTTTCCATTCGTTCCTTTGCTCGTACACTCTTAAAAAAGCTGCGTTTCTCTGATCTTTCCCCATTACCCATTTATTGTTTAGGTTCCCCAAGTAAGTTGCTCTGGGCCTACCTCTGCCTCGTTTACCTTCAATTTTGCCAGTGAGAGCTTAATATTCAAGACCTTTACGTCTATTCAGTTGTCCCAAAAACTGCGTTTGTCGTTTCCTGATTGTTTTTAACAGTGAGCGTCCCACGCGGGCTTCATCAGGCACTACCTCATTGGATTTCTTTTCCGTTCACGATATTCACAGCAATCTCCCAAGAAGCCACTTTTCTATTGCTTTTATTTTAATTTCACTGTCTTTAGTGATTGTCCAGCATTTACAGCCATATAGAAGGGTTGACCATACATAGCATTTCAGAACTTTCATTTTGGTAATTATTGAGATGTTTCTGTTTTTCAGGATTGGGCTAATTTTTATTGAAACTAGTTTTAGCCATGGCAATTCTCCTTTTTATTTCTGTGGACCATTTGGCATTAGATGTTATAATATATCCTAGGTATCTAAACTGTTGGACTTGTTTGATCTTTTCTCCTTTGCTAATGAGATTACAAATAGGATTTGCTGCTTTTTGGATATTACCATGCATTCTGTTTTCTTTCCGTTCAACAATAATCCTTTACGTTCACTTTCCGTTACAACAGTATCTTGAAGCGATTAAGGGTCCTTTTCTGAGTCTGCTATTAAAACTGTGTCATCCGCATATCTGTATTACGGTCCCATAAAATCCCCCTCCACTCCACCACCACCCCACCCCCCCCCAAAAAAAAAGAAACAAAAAACAACCCCACCCTCTGCCCCGAAAGAATACTCGTAGGTGAAAAAGTAGACATAATTAGCCGATCAAGAGCATCATTGCGAACATTCCCATACAAGGCCAAAACATTGGCACAGAGATTCCGTTGTCATAGGTCTACATGGGTTCTGTTGCCCGGATTTATCTCTTTCACACACACCCCTCCAGAGAGAGAGAGAGAGAGAGAGAGAGAGAGAGAGAGAGAGAGAGAGAGAGAGAGAGAGAGAGAGAGAGAGAGAGAGTAGAGATGGGGAATAGAAAAAGGAGATAGGGTGAATGGGTGAGTAGGAGTGTAAAAACGAGGGCATGTTACCTGTAAGTATGTGTCTATGTATGCACGAGTCACGATTGTTGAGAACGCCCATGCCACTTGATGATACCATTGTTGTATCCAGCGGCGCTTACAGCCGTGTACAACTCCCTTAGACTCCCTTCCTGATTCTGTAGAAGGATCCAAGAGAAGGAAGTTACTGTCAACATCAACGGCACCGACAGCCTCGGTTACTGCAACCAGTGCATGTGTTCCAAGGCGAGGAAACGCGCAACATGCATTTTTTCTTTCTTTTTTTTAAAGGAAAAGAGAGGAAAGGGGGGGGGGGGTGTTTACCCCTCCCCCGCTCCTTGAAGCTGTGTGTCAAAAGTGGCCCCAAATCTTTCCAGAGATCACTTTCACGTTAGATTTCTGTGAAACGTCAAAGCAGTTTATATTTTATATCACCCCTCTCGAAAAAACAACAAAAAACAACAACCAAAGAAAAAAACCCCAAAAACCAACGGATGTCACATTTAAAGAAAGTGGAAAAAGTAGAAAGCCAAAGCTTTGAAAGTGCGTATCTCATAGTGGGTATAGCATTTTTTCTAGATTTGCCTTACATAGCACGTCATAGCTAGGTTATCCTTAGGATCACCAGCAGAGAAGAAACTTCCAATTAAGAATGTAACATGTGAAAAATGTCTC